CCTCATGAGACGAATCTCCAGCCCTCTTTTACTTATCTTGAGATGGAGTTGTACTAAGTTGCCCAGGCAGTCTGTGGAGTTAGGGATTACATTTGTATACCACCTATTGGCTAATCTCAAGCCACTGGGACCTTTTCAGCATGCAGGAGAACACTGCTGTCCTGCTTGGGAAGTGGGAACAGCTATCCTCTGTGGAGAGCAGGCCGCAGGTAGGGTATTTACAGAGCCCAGAGTGTACCACTGACAGGGCTTGATTAGCTCTCCTGGTATGAAAAGGACCCTTATTTTCTTCTTGTCTGCCTCTCTCTTCCCCTGAGGACATCCCTTGCCTTCTTCTGGCCTCCACTCCTTCCTTTTACGGAGCTGTGCATAGCTTCCTGTCTGTCCTCCCTAGCCTGCCCCTGGCTCCTTTACTGTCAGCCCGAGGCTCTGTCATCCCCCTCCCTGGCCCTGTGTCCATTATGAGATTAAAAAGTGAAGGCCCAAGGGACAAGACCCTTGAGTTTGTAGAGACTAGAAAAATGAAGGATGGGGCTGGAATGATGGTTTCCCAGTTAAGAGCATCTGCAAAGGACCTGAATTTGGTTCCTGGTACCCACATGAAAGCTCCCACCCTCTATAGCACCAGTCCAGGGGATTCCAAAGCCTTCTTCTGACTTCCTTGGGTACCAGGCATGCAAGCAATACACCAAATACATGCACACAAAATGCTTGAACACATAAAACTAAAATTATTTTTTTGTTTTGTTTTTTTGAGAAGGGGTTTCTCTGTATAGCTCTGGCTGTCCTGGAACTAGCCCTGTAGACCAGGCTGGCCTCAAACTCACAGAGATTCATCCTCCTGTCTCTGTCTCCCCAGCTCTGGGATTAAAGGTGTATGCTACCACTGCCCAGCTTAAAATTAAAAATTTTCAATCTTTAAAAAATTTTGCAAGATATTCAGAACTTAACTGAAGAAGAACCCAGAACAGTGACACTTGACCACTGGAGACAAGAACACATACTCTTACAATAAAGTGTCATTGGTCTGGCAAAAGGCTGCCCTTGTCCCCAGACTCTGCTGAGTTGTAGATCTGATTAGGAGAGGCTCAAGGTACTGCTCGGAGGGGGATGTTGGGTACTTTTTGCCAATCATGGCCACCCAGCCATACCTTGTCAGTTAGGAAGAAGCAGGCCACAGACAGACTAACAAGGGGAGGTTATCAAAGGAGCATTTAGGGGCCTTAGAAATGGCCCAGTGGGTTATCAGATTACGTTATGAGCATGAGGACCCGAGTTTGGATTCCTAGCACCCATGTAAAACCCCAGTAAGGCAGTGCACACCTGTAACCCAGCAACAGGAAGCACAACTGGGCAGGTCCCACGGGCTCACTGACCACCAGTCTAGCAGAACCAGTGGAGAATGATGGAGGAAGACACTTTAACCTCTGGCTTCCCCAGGGACACACGTGTGTGTACACACAGGACATCTACCAGGACAACCAGGTGGGAAGCTACTAATGTCTCTTGTCCTCCAAGTCAAGGGTGAACCCTGTAGGAGCTCAGAGTTTACTGTGATCTTGATCAAGGGACTCAGCCAAACTAAAAGCCCTGCTGACTAGGCAAAAACTTAGACCTAGAGGCAAGCCCTTTGCCAGCACAGGCCCTTTGGCCTCTGGCCATACAGACTAGGTCCACTGATCCAATTAGTGTTTGGTAGAAGTATGTTAAAGGGACCTGGTGATCTTAGGATGCAGAGTGAGAGACACGATTTCCTCTGTCTAGCTATCGCATCTTCTTTTTCCAGAGCATTCATCCTTGGTTGTGTCCCAGCTTTAATCGCCCACTTTACGATGAGGCTTCATGCCAGTCCTTCCCAGATGAGGCTTCATGCCAGTCCTTCCCAGCACTCAGACCCAGGCCACATTGGACTGGACTTTAGAATCTTCTAGAAATACTAACCTTAAAACTTCAGATCTATTTAACCCCCTCATGCTGTGGCTCCTCTTCTTTCCTCCTTCTGAAACTCAGGCCAAAGCCAGAGTCATCCTGGACTTAAAAACAAACAAACAAGGGGCTGTCGAGATGGCTCAGTGGTTAAGAGCATTGACTGTTCTTCCAAAGGTCCTGAGTTCAATTCCCAGCAACCACATAGTGGCTCACAACCATCTGTAGTGAAATCTGGTGCCCTCTTATGGCCTGCAGACATACATGTAGGCAGAACACTGTGTACATAATAAATAAATAAATCTTTAAAAAAACAAACAAACAACAAACTTTATTTATTGGGAATGAGTGTGCAAGTAGAGGTCAGAGGATAGCTCTGTGGTTTTGGTTCCTCCTTCTGCCATGTGGTTCCCGATAAGCTCTCTTCAGGTTAGGGCCTGGCACCCAGGACATGTGTGCACATGTACGGAGGTCAGAGGACAGCTTTCAGAAGTGGGTTCTCTCCTCCATGTGGGACTCAGTCCTGGCGGCAAGCTCTATCCACTGAGCTACCTCAGAGACCCAGGACTTCGTGTTAATTCAGATCTGATCCTGTACTCCCAGTGGCGTGACTAATCAAAAGATACCCATGGTGGCTGCAGGTGGGCCAGTGTTAGAGCGCTTGGGCAAAAGTGCTCCCACCTACAGTGTCACCTGTAGACACCTCCATCCCCAAGTCTTCCCTTCACACCATCCAAATCCAGGATCACCCACAGTCTTATGCTCAGCCACTGATCCCCCTCTCTGAGCCCATCTCCTCCCCTGCTGGCAACTTGCCCTGGTCGGGCTCCCTGGGGTCCTTGGAGGTTAATAACAATCACATGCCTTCCATGAGATCTTTCTGATTAAAAAGATTCTAGGTTGGTGAGATAGCACTGCCATGCAGTTCAATCCCGGGGACCCACATATTGGGAAGAGAACAAACTACAGCAAGTTGTCCTCTGGCCTCCACGCATGCTATGGCATCTACAACCCCACCACACACATCATGTGCACACCTTAACACGATGATGATGATGATGATGATGATGATGATGATGATGATGATGATGATGATGATGATGATGATGATGATGATGATGATGATGATGATGATGATGATGATGATGATGATGATGATGATGATGATGATGATGATGATGATGATGATGATGATGATGATAATAATAATAAATTTTTGTTGTTTTCCCAGACAGGGTTTCTCTGTGTAACAGCACTAGCTGTCCTGGAACTCACTTTGTAGACCAGGCTGGCCTCCAACTCACAGAGACCCACCTGCCTCTGCCTCCCACATGGCTATAATAAAATATTTTAAAGGAGGCTGGAGAGATGGCTCAGGTGTTAAGAGCACTAGCTGTTCTTCCAGAGGTCCTGGGTTCAGTTCCCAGCACCCACATGGCAGCTCACAACTGTCTGTAATTTTAGTTCCACAGGTTCTGACACCTCACACAGACATACATGCAGGCAAAACACCAAGGCACACAAAATAAAAATAAATTATTATTTTAAAAGCAGCCATTTTAGCTGGGCGGTGGTGGCGTACGCCTTTAATCCCAGCACTCGGGAGGCAGAGGCAGGTGGATCTCTATGAGTTTGAAACCAGCCTGGTCTACAAGAGCTAGTTCCAGGACAGCCTCCAAAGTCACAAAGAAACCTGTCTCGAAAAACCAAAACAAACAAACAAACAAACAAACAAAAAGCAGCCATTTTAAAAGATCCCAAGATTCGATGTCTGCTCATACAAAGCTCATAGCAGTGTTCATAGCATCAGTGTTTATATTCTCTCTAAACTACCAACCAATGAGTGGATACATAATGTGGTACATCTCTCCCTTGGATCATTATTCAGCCAGAATAAAGAATTGGTAGACATATACACACTACAACAGGCTGAGCCTTGAAAGCTACATGTGAATGGTTTGTGTGTGTGTGTGTGTGTGTGGTGTGTGTGTGTGTGTGAGTGTGTGTGAGCGTGCGCCTGTGTCCTGCCAATCACAAAACTTCTCAGCCTATGTGATTCCATAGGTGACATTATCAGGAGCAAGGAGGTGAAAATGTAAAGTGTGAATTCATTGCCACTCAAAAGATGACCCCAACGATTGCTTTTAAGAGATAGTCTCACTATGCAGCCTCCGCTGGCCTTGAACTCACAGACATCCTGCTGCCTCTGCCTTCCAAGTGCTAGGGTTAAAGATATGTGTTACACCTCCTGGTGTGGTGGCGGCTGGCCTTGAACTCACAGACATCCTGTTGCATCTGCTTTCCAAGTGCTAGGGTTAAAGATATGTGTTACACCTCCTGGTGTGGTGGCTACACATCTTGGTAAGGCAGTCCTGCTGTTTTTGTGAGCACTTTCACATTCAATATTGTTGCGTCTAAAACCTTAAAAGGAACTTTGTAACCATTTTTGTTTTCATTTCCCTTTAACTTGTCTATTATTTAAACTTGGGGTTTTGTTTGTTTGTTTGTTTGTTTGTTTGTTTTTTGAGATGGGGTCTCACTCTAGTCTGACCTTTTGGGGTTTTGTTTGTTTGTTTGTTTTTTGAGATGGGGTCTCACTCTAGTCTGACCTGAGCTGTGTCAAGCACATATGTGTTAAATTACAGGCATGAGCCATCACACCTGGCTTGAACTCTTATGTTTCTTTGGACTGTACAGATTAGATGTTCACTGTTTGTTCATTTGCCTTTCAAGGCCTCACATATACTAGACAGATAGACTTCCACTGAGATGATACCTATTGGTTACCTAGGGGCTGGAGAGATAGTTCAACAGTGAAAAACAGTTGCTGCTCTTGCAGAAGACCTGGATTTGGTTCTCGGTATTCACATGGTGGCTCACAACCATCTGTAACTCTAGCCCCAAGGGATCTGATGCCCTCTTCTGGCCAGCCTTGGCACTGCACACACACAAAACAGCCACACATATAACATAAACATAAATCTTTAAAGCTACTTAACTAGATGGAAGTGTTTTCCTCCTGCATTAGTATGAGGAGTGTGGGTGCTGACCCTGCTCTGTTTTCTCCTGCACAGAACTTCCATGATGGACGGAAGGCCCAGCAGCACATCGAGACATGCTGGAAGCAGCTAGAGTCGGTAAGTGGGAAGCAGGCTGCTATACCAGTAACTCCCCAGACCACCTTACTTCAGTCTCAGTGTGGCTTGAATGCCTCACTTAGTACAAATCCAGTAGAATCCACTAAGGAATCTTCTTTCTAGATTTTCCTCATTCGTATTTCATTTAATCTGCTCCTTGAACTATAATGGCAAGCAAAGTGATGAGCCAGAAATGCTTACAGTGAGCTGGAGAGATGGTTCAGTGGGTAAAGTGTCAGCTGTGGGAGCATGAGGACCTGAGTTTGGATCCCCAGAATCACTTAAAAAGCTGGATGCAGTGGCACATGCCTATAATCCCAATACTGGGGAGGCAGAGACAAAAGGATCTCAGGGGCTCACTGGCCGGCCAGCCCGCCTAGCCGTATCAGCAAGCTACAGATTCAGTGAGAGACTATCCCTGAAAGCAAGGAGTATGAGCTGGAGAGACAATGGCTCAACAATCAAGAGTACTTGCTACTCTCCCTGAGGACCCAGCACCCAGCTGGATGGCTCACAACCACCTGTAATTCCAGCTCCTGGGGATCCGATGCCTCTGGCCTCTGAAGGTACCTGCACTTCACTCAGAAGCACACATGACTACATACAATCAGAATGAAAATAAATCTTTAAAACAGGGTGGAGAGCAATTGTAGACGATGTCCCATGTTGACCTCTGACTTCTTCATGCACACACACGTGCACAAAAGCAGGTACAAACACTCATGAAAAAGTGTCTTATGAGTTAACGCTGCAGGTAAACCCTGTGCAGAGAATGGAGAGGGGGTCAGTGTAGTGTGGACAGATGCTGGGGTCACTTCTGGAAATGGCGATGTCTAGTGGGTGTGTTCTGGGGAGAATGCCCGTGGGGGTCTCTCCAGAGGTGACAGGGTGGGTGACTGACCACCTGGCTTGGCTGTGCTCTGTCTTCAGAGTAAGAGGCGGTTTGAGCGTGACTGCAAGGAGGCCGACCGTGCACAACAGTACTTTGAGAAGATGGATGCCGACATCAACGTGACCAAGGCCGACGTGGAAAAGGTGAGAGGACTCATTCTCACTTCCCTGGAGTGTGCTTCCTAGGCGGCCACTGGGGTGGCTTGGCCTCAGCTTCCTCTTTCTGATGTAACCACAAGAGGGTACTTGATGGGAAAAGGGTTTCATGTTGTGTCATCACCATGGGGACCAGAAGTCCACACTGGGGGAAAAACCAGACTTGAGGTGATTTGCTTAGTCACCACCGTGATAATGGGGAGACCTGGACACGTCACAACAGGAGTGGTTCAGGAGGCCACTCTCTTCCTTAGTGGCTTGTCAAAGGCTGAGTTCCTAGTCTAAGTAGCTGAAGCAGCTGTCCCAGCCCATGTAGGAGAACCTGGCAGCTCCAGGCCTTCAGAAAGGCTGACCCTCTGCCTGACCTTGTCATGAATTAATTTAGGCTGATACCCAGCAGGCGGGGTGAGAGGAGAGGCATTTGAAAGTCTGCAGAGTTTTCCTCTCGATGACTCAGACATAAAGTGCGCCCTTGTCTCCCAGGCCCAGTGTGTGTGTTTTTTCCCTAGAAGCCCCATTTTCTTTTTATGAAAGTCATCAAGATAGTGTAAACACAATTATGCCATTAAATAGTGGCGTTCATTCATGGTGCCCAGGGCCATTTGGGCACTTGAGTCTGTGCTTTTCTCTGGGAAAGCTGTGCTTTCTTGTAGTGCTGTTTGGTTCTGCCAGATGAGTCCAAGATGCCTTGAATGGGGTCGTATCTCAGTTAGGATGGAGGGATGTGTGGCTATGTTTTCTTTAATTTCTATAATATACTAAAATGCATATTCTTGACATTGTGAGGGGAGATTTCTATTTTACCAAAAGACATTCATTTTTAGATTAAGGGACCATGCTTATCATAAATTCCTACTAACTAGTCATATTTAAAGTGTTGCTTAAATATTATTTTTTAAGTTGTATTCATTTATTTGTGGGTGAGTGTATTTATGATCAGAGAATAACTTTATAGAGGAGGTTCTTTGCCCCCCTCCATGTGGCTCCTAGGAATCATTAAGTTTCTAGCAGACCCTGTTATTTGATGGTCCCTTCATCGGGCTTTTCAAATGTTACCTAGTTGACAGTGGTGTACACACACCTGTAACCCCAGCACTTGGGCGTGGAGGCAGGAGAGGCAGATGATCAAGGTCATCCTTGGCTACACAGTGGGCTTGAAGCTAGTTTAGGATATTAAGACTCTGTCTCCAAAAATTGAAAACTATGGGACTGGAAAGATGGCTCAGAGGTTGAGAGCACTGTCTGCTCTTCTAGAGGACCTGGGTAGGAGTCACAGCTCCCAATGGCAGCTTAAAACCATATTTAATTTTAAATCCAGGAGATCCGATGACCTCTTCTGGCCTCTGTAGACATTGCATGCCTGTGATGCATAGACATAAAATAAAAATAAGTCTTTAAGCCGGACATTGGTGGCGCACGTCTTTAATCCCAGCACTCGGGAGGCAGAGGCAGGCAGATCTCTGTGAGTTCGAGGCCAGCCTGGTCTCCAGAGCGAGTGCCAGGATAGGCTCCAAAGCTACACAGAGAAACCGTGTCTGGAAAAACCAAAAAAAAAAAAAGTCTTTAAAAACATATATGGAGTCAAGTGTTGTGGATCTCTGTGAGTGAGTTCAAGGCCAGCCTGATCTACAAATAGAGTTCCAGGACAGTCAGGGCTGTTACACAGAGAAACCCTATATCAAAAAAATAAACCAAACACCAAACATATATAGCTGGAAAGATGGCTCAGTAGATAAGGACATAACTTCAGTTCCCAGCACCCACCTCAGACTGGTCACAACATCCTGTAAATCCAGCTCCGGGGGCTCCCATGCCTCTGGTCTCTGCAGACACCTTTATTCGTATGTATTTGCTCCCAAATAGACACTCACCCATAACTAAAAATAAAGTAACTATTTTGCCAGTTTAAGAAATGCAAGATGAATAGATTTTAAAAATAAATAAAAGCACCTGGCTGTTGTGTAGCACTCAGGAAGCAGAGGCAGGCAGATCTTTGTGAGTTGGAGGTCAGCCTGGTCTACAGAGTGAGTTCCAGAACAACCAGTACTACACAGAGAAACCTTGTCTCAAAACTCAAAAGAAAGAAAGAAAGAAACTAATTCTAAACAATAATCAAAACTAAGGTAGACTGAAGTGTTGCTGAGTCCTAATGGCTCCCTTAGGAACAGAGTAAGAAGACAGGTTGTCAACGGCACAGGCACAGGGAGTCAGGTAAAAGGCAAACAGTCAACTCATTTTTTCAGCAATAGGGAGAGCCTTATACACTCTCCTCCCAGCACCCAGGCTGCATCCTGATTCCTTGACATTGAGTGGTCACCTCTCAACCTGGCAACAGGCTCTCAGGCAGAATCCAGGTAGGCTCATCTCTGGGTCTCATAGGCCTTATCTTCCTACACTGAAGTATGTTTAAAAACTCTAGATTAGCCAGGCATTGGTGACATACTCCTTTAATCCCAGCACTCGGGAGGCAGAAGCAGGCGGATCTCTGTGAGTTCGAGGCCAGCCTATTCTCCAGAGTGAGTGCCAGGACAGGCTCCAAAGCTACACAGAGAAACCCTGTCTCGAAAAACAAAAAAAAACCCAAAAACCAACAACAACAACAACAACAAAAACCCTCTAGATTAAATGAAGTCAACTCAGTTTACAAAAACCAACAACAACAACAAAAACCCTCTAGATTAAATGAAGTCAACTCAGTTTATGGGTTATGTGTGTGTATACACATATGGCATAAATGTGTTCTTTTTTAAAAAATTTATTTAATTTTTTTGCATATGAATGTTTTCTTGCATGTATATCTGTTTGCCACATGTGTGCCTGGTGTCTATGGAGGTCAAAAGAAGGCATTGGAGCTGGGCAGTGGTGGAGCACCTCTTTAATTCCAGCACTCGGGAGGCAGAGGCAGGCGGATCTCTGTGAGTTCAAGACCAGCCTGGTCTACAAGAGCGAGTTCCAGGATAGGCTCCAAAAATCACAGAGAAACCCTGCCTCAAGCTACCCCCCCCAAAAAAAGAAGGCATTGAATCCCCTAGAACTGGAGTTGTATGGAGTTGTTACCCACCACGTGGGTGCTGGGAATCAAAACTTAGTCCTCTGTGAGAGCAGCCAGTGCTCTTAACCACTGAGCCATCCCTCGAGCCTCATTAACACTGTTTCTGAGACCTAAATTCATGGATGTCTAGGGCCCCGAGGTTCCCCTGGTCACCCTCTGCCTTAGCTTCCCTCCAGCACCCAGTACTGGCAGTTGTATCTGCTATCCTTATCTTGTTGCCTCTTCTTTATTTGCTTCTCTTATCTTCCTCTGCAATCTGTGACCTCCTTGTGCAGAGAGAAGTAGTCATTGTGGGTTTCTTTATCTTCTTCTTGATTATGGAGAGTGCTTCAAGAACAGCCTATAACCCCAGCACTTGGGAGGTGGAGTCAGTAAGCTTGCTGCTGGCTCAAGGCCAGCTAGGGCTACAGGAGATCCTTACCAAAAAGGAAGGAGGGGGAGGAAGGGAAGAGAAATTATAAGTGTTAAAACACTTTCATTTTATGTGCATTGGTGTCAGATCTGCCAGAACTGGAGTTAAACACAGTTGTGAGGTGCCATGTGGGAGCTGGGAATTGAACCCAGATCCTCTGGAAGAGCAGCCAGTGCTCTTAACCGCCGGGCCACCTCCAGCCCCCAAAACTGGTTATAATATATCTTTTTAAAAAAGAAATTGTCCCTCTTTTCTTGTTTTGCCAAAATATCTTTATTCTATTTATGTGTATGGGTGTTTGCTTGAATGTATGTTTGTGTGCCACATGTGTACAGTGACTGTGGAGGCCAGAATGGGGAGAATGGGGTGTCAGATCCCCTGGAACTGGGGTTACAGACAGTTGTGAGTCACACAGTGGGTGCTGAGAACTGAGCTGGATCTTCTGTAAGAACAGCCTATAATCCCAGCAGTTGGGAGACAGATGAAAGTTTGAGGCTAGCTTGGGCTACATAATGAGACTCTATCTCAAAAAACAACAACAACAAAAAAAAAGAATTAAAGGAAGGAAGGTAGGCCTATTTGTTGAATTCCTTTCCCTTCGGTTTTAGTTCACTTAGGTTTTGGGAGGTTGCTCTTCTTTTCTGAAATAATCATTATAAGATGAATTTATCTAGTTCTGGTTTTTGTTTTTTGTCTTTCCTTTTGCTGATATCCTGCCATGTGGCTGGGGCTGGCTTTAAATTCTTGCTTCCCCTGCCTCAGCCTCTACCGTTGCTGAGGTCACAGACATACACCACATCACCAGTTCTTATTGTCTCTTAAATGTCTACCATGCTTCTCTGTGACAGTGACATATGTGTGGGGTGTGTGCTTCTGTATTTGGGGACTTGCAGAGGCCAGGAGAGGGTGTTGGGTCCCCTGCAGCTGGAGTTAAGGGCAGCACAGATCCCCTGCAGGAGAAAAGGGCTCTTAAGGACGGAGCCATCTCTCCATTCCCTGAGTCAGTATTTCATTGTCTGCTACTTTTTGATCCTGATGAGTTTTATTTTCACTGAACCCGGAGCTTGCTTTGGCTCTGCTGCTCTCCAGCAAGCTCCAGATCTGCCTGTCCCCACCCTGCTCGGCAGGCACTGAGGTTACAAGTGAATACCTGTGGTTGTTGTTATTAGTGTTGCTTGTTTGTTTTTGTTTTGAGTGCTGAGAATGCAAACTCAAGTCTCTTGCTAGCACATCAAACACTTTACTCACTGAGTCATCTCCCCACCCCCAGTTTAGGATGTTTGATGACATCAATGCATAAGCACTGATGTCTAAACCCTGAATATTTTAAGTCCTTTTGCTTTGAGGGTGACCTGCAAGCTGCTGTCCACCACAGACCATGTGGAGACATGAAATCAGCTTTTTCACTGAATTCCCCATTGTTATCTTTGCTTTGTTTTTTTGAGACAGGTTTCTGTACATAGCCCAAGCTAGCCACCCTCCTGCTACACCTCCAAAATGCTGAAATTTCAGGGGTACATGACC